GTCTGCCCCGTCTGCCCTCTCTCAGAGACAATCCTGAAGTCTTGGATTTTTCGGAAATTTCGGGGAATTATCGCAATGTTGGAAAACATTGACATTTTGCTTCACTTTTTCTTATTTCTATTCATTTTCATGAGATAGTCTGACTGAAAATGACATTTTCCCGGGATTTTTTCATGAAACTTTGAATTTCCAATGACAAAATTCCAAAAAATTTACCGGAAATATCAGCCAAAATAATAAAATGACAATTCAAAAAATGATTTATCAATCCACAATCATCCTGCGTTATCAGGGCCATGAAAAAATTATGACGCCTAGCGCGAACCAAACGAGACAAAGTACGGCTTTGTGGAGCCCAGTGAGACACAAACTCCCCGGCAAAAGCCCAACACTGAACCAAATAATACTCGGATGAATAGAGTGTATCCACATGTACCCCTGGCATTACAGTCAGCAGTCTGCAAGCGCAATATTGTGACTGATAATCACAAACACCAAAGGGAATTATTAATATTACCGCTTTTCGAGAAAACCGCGTACAAGCCCGCATCCAGCAATGCAATTCGTTCAATGCGTATGTGCAATTTGTTTATTCACGAATGAGTTTATACAGTAGGATTGGGGAGGGGGGGCGGGGAAGGGAAATAGAGTAGTGGGGAAAAAATATCAAAAGGTTTGAGAGACGGCGAATGGATAATAAACATTTGCCGATAAAGATATCCGGGTACATCACGCTGTGTATACAGAACAACCAAAAGACGATTCTCTGATCTACGATTATGGATTCCTTGATGTTTCTATGCGTCAAAGGAATAGTGGCTTTTCAAAATTCAGATTATTTCCGGGAATAAAGGAAACAGTGAAATACATTCAATAATAAAGATTATTTCAGATGATGAATATTACTTGAAATTTCAATCACACCGAGTCAATCACCCATTTTACCCCCGTAGTTAACGAAATAAAAATTCAAAAACGAATTTTTTTGTCAAAAGCAATACGAATCAAAAAGAACTACAAATGAAGAAAACTTTTTTTTTTTCTTCTCTCTTTTTTTGTGACAAAAATTTGTTTTACATTTTTTTATCGAAGCAGTACGAATCAAAAAGAACTGCGAATGGAGAAAACTTTTTTTTTACTTTCCTTTCTCTTTTTTGTGATAAAAATTTGTTTTGCATTGTTGTTTATATTTTTTTTATCGAAGCAATATAAATTAAAAAAAACTACGAATGGAGAAAACTGTTTTTTCACTTTAGCTGTGTGAACTTGCAGTCGAAGTTTGATAAATCGATTTTTTTTCTTATAGTATCGATTGTACTCAGTGAGTACCTGAACGTACCACATTCATTTTCGTTTGTACCCCGCATCCCTAGACGTAAGGGGTGCGGAAAAAATCGTGCAGCGTCGGAAATGAAGGTACGGAAAAAATTTTCATGAGCAAGGATTCAGCATGGATAGTACTTGTATGTACTATATTTTTCCATTTCATTTATCAACCCCTTCAATACTTTACCCGCTTCTAAAATCTTAAATGTATGAAGGACGTCAGGAAAACATACAGATAGCTTCTAAATCGTTAGTACTCGTTTGTACCAACGAAAATTATTCATTATTATTATTATTATTATTATTATTATT